GTGAGGGCAGCAAGGGCGAACCATTTTGTGATTCAGACTGTTACTTTATTTCTGCTGTATTGTCAAATATTTTGATGGAAGCTAATGAGAAAGGTTTTAGTTTCCGCGTTCTTGGTTCTACAGATTTACTTAGCTGAATTGTTGGTGGACTAGTAGAATATGAAGATACACTTTCTGTTCTGAAATGAAGTAAGAGTTCCTGTGTGGATAGATTGCTCCTGTTACCTAGCTTGATTTCAAAACAGTTTAGTTAAATTGCTGTGGTACTTTGTTTACACTGGATATTAATCACTCAAGTAAGTGTATCAGGCCCATTTTGTCAACTCCCAAAAAGCAGGTGGGGTAATATGTGCAAAAGGAACATGACTCTATTTACTGTTTCACACTGAATATCTTTAAATGACCTCAGTTAATTTAAACAGCTGAGCACTTTTTCTCTTTGTGCCTTATATCCTAAACATATTCAAGGTTGTATCCTGAAGTAACTTTTCCCCTTGTTGGGGTCCCTTGTAGAAGCAGGTTTGCTCATGCTCAGAGGATGAGGTGGTTGTTTTGTATTTTAAATACTTATTACTTTTATAAGCAAGCTAAGCTAGAGATCGTGATTGATGTTGAATACCAAATTACTGTTTTTCCTCATAGTATTTTCAAGGTTATTAAATATTCTTGAAGTTCTTCACAATCTTAGTAGACCTTACTCTCTGCTGAGAAATAAGATTAGGCATCAATATTAAGATCTGCCTGATGGTCCAGTGTTCACAAGGGATAAATATCTCTGTGATTTTTTTTCACTCCAGGTTATACTGTTTTATGGAGAGCAGTCCTGAATATTTAGTGTTTTCTGTTTTCATTTATAATTACTTAGTGTAGCAACTAAGTGAATGAATTGGATTTCAAGCAGCTACTTGAGCACCCAGGAAACCCAGGCCATTTTCTAGTAGTCAAAAGTTTGAAACTTTAATAAAAATTAAACTTGAATTTCATATGGTTGTACTGTAGGTGACAGCTTCCTGGGAATGTTTACGTTTAATCCCATCCTTGCAGTCTTCTGAAGTGCTTATCCTCTCCTAGGAGTGGAAAATTGAGCAGGGATGCTACTTGTACTCCTCCTTGGGAACTCACAGGCATACTGGGAGTTACTTAATAGACTAGTAATTACCATTAGTAGTGGACAATGAATAGTCTTACACATTTCTTCTTGTGTATCGACTTTCTTCAAAATACAACCTAACTCTCTCCTCTTAAAGATAAGACTAAATGTTTTAGTAAAATGCTGGATGATGTCTTTCTGAAGTGCTTTATCTGTGAAACTATGTTTAAACTTTGCTTGCTAGATATAATTATATGACAAATAGCAGTCAGAATCAAAGTTGAAGGACAGCAACGTACTGTGTTTTTTGAACAGTGTATGGGCCTCTCTTCTTGACCGTGTTCATACCCTAGCTATGAGATCTTTTCTTGGTAATGCTAGTCCACACAAACTGTGTGCTTCTAGGCCATCTTTTCATCCCTTGTGCTCATAACAGGAGTGCAGAATGGCTGCTAATAGCTTCAGATGGAGACATTTGACCCTTTAAGACAGCACACCTTGACCAAAAAGCCTGTATTATTCCAGGCAGGAACATTTGGCCGGATTTGAATTAACCTCCAGGCTGCAGTTTGGATTACGGATTTGAATTAACCTCCAGGCTGCAGTTTGGATTACGCTTATGTTGAAAGAAAAGGCATTTCTGTAACATTAAAACCAGTGGTAGATAGCTGTTGGCTTCTCATCCTGGTGTTTTGTCACATGTGCTGCTGGTTACTTGGGAGGTTACTCAACCCCCATAGAACATTGATGCAAAGCTATTGTGAGTACTTAACTTTAGTTTCGTGCTTGGATTGCAGTATTTGCATATAGTAAACATAATAAGACATTTTGGCTTTTATCTCTTGCTAATCTGTCCTGTAAAACTTACAAATATAAAGGGTTGTTAGCAGTCTGTAGTCTCCTTATAAGCAGCAGAGCAGAAATGTGGGTAGTGGTTCATTGCTGACATACATGTCATAGGTAAGAGGGGCAAGAATTGTGAAGTTTTTTATAACTCTTATATGTGAAGTTATGGGGGGGGGGGTTGAGTTTATGAAAAATTACAAGGTGGAGGTCAAGTGAAGTTCAAATCAGAGTTGCAGAAAGACTTAATTACTTGTGTTTAGCAGTGAACAGGGGAAAAGGCCAATGACTACAAGACTTACGGTGTTACATGAAGTATATGTAAATTTTATTGCAGTGAGGAGGACATGTATCGTGATGCAGAAGAAATAGAGAGAGAGAAAATATTACTTGTTTGTGAGACGGGCTCTTCAGGTATTTGACCTTTATTTGGTATTTCAAGTATATTACAATTGTATCACTAATTTGGGATGATTTGAAACCGTCATTTCCAAGTTTTTTTTGTGCACAGGTGTGTGTGTGTGCAGTAGAAGTTACTTATCATGACTGAGTATCCTGTACAGTTTAATTCACAAAAAATCAAGTTTATGTAAAACTAGTTGCTATTAATATACTTTTTCTTGTGTTCCTTCCTATAGTTTTTTTTTGAGAGTTCTTGAATCCTTTGTAGAGTAGTAATACTGCCTATCTTATGAGTGTTGTGCTTGAGAATTACCAATTTATAGTCATTACAGAAACATCTAGAGTTGAGAAGCCATGATAACTTTAGTACCGTCTGTTTTGGATTCCAAGAGAAAACTGTATTCCTTGCTTTCTCCCATTGTTTCTGACTTACAAAGATCTTATTATCTCTCTTCTATATACTCTGGCTCCTGAAGGAGGGAAAAACATTAAATGAAAATGTCTCTTTCTAATTGCTAAGAAAATGAAGAGTACCTCACTAATTTCCATTTTTTTTCTTGGCTAATATCTTTAGGGCAGGATGGGTAGAGAGTGTTCACCCTGTTGTGAGACTGCATCATCATTGTTTACTTGTGGTTTTCTGAGCAAGGAGATAGTATCAGAGGAAGAAAAAAAAAAAAAGCTAACAGTTATTTAGTAGTTGTAGGTTGTGCTATGTCGGTCTCTCTTCAGTTGGCACCAATTTTATTTTAAATCGTTAGTTGTATTTAGAAATGTTGTGGTGCTTTTCTATTTTGCTCGGTTTCACAGTTCTCTGTAGTGTTACTTATTCTATATTGACAGAGCATAAACTGAGCATTGCACCCGAAATGGATGTCATGGAATATTGCATAAAAGAATGGAGAGGAAATACACCAGTAGCAAAAAGGATGAAAAAGGTACAAGTTCTGCATGTTTTTTTTTAAATTTTGTTCTTATTCTTTGTTATTGTTTTCACTTATGAGTTTAGTAGGTGATTTCCTATGGGAAAAATCTTTAAACAAGAAAATACTAATGTTTTCCAGTGTATGGTCTTTGAAGTGGTTAGCAACTGGAAGATTGTTTTGTTCATAGTAGTTCAAAATGTGTTCTTGGTAAGACTACTTGTTGGGAGTGTGGGGTTTTGATTAATACAATTCCCCATTACTATTTTCAATTACAAAGTTTTATGCTTGGTTTATTGCCATAAAAATGGTAAATTTCTTGGCTGTTCAAGTAGCAGAGCAGATAACTAACTTTGTTTTGCAGAAGGAAAATGGCTGAAGCTGGTGAATTTCATGATTAGAAGCTTTAAAGAAAAAGTTCAGGTTTTAAAAATTTTTCCTGAAACTTTTATTTTCTGTAAATTTTTGAGTTTTCTTACATTATTCTTGAGCTAGAAAGGTAGAATAGAAAAAGCAGAAGCTTGTGGGTTTTTTTTTCTTTTTTTTTCCAAAGTAATTTCAAAATTTAACAACACGCATGAGTAAACCTGAACTATTTCTCATAGTTAAAATGATCCATGTGTCACCTTCAAGAGGTTAGTCAGGGGAATACAAGTGTAGAGCTTTGGATCTTCTTCCGTCAGCTGCAGAGATGCACTGAGCTTCAGAAGTTATATTTCAACACTGTTTTTTCTGTATAGGCGCATACGAGAACAGCAGGGAGGAGACAAATATGCTGAGGCGTGTGTCAAGATATTGCAGTGTAAACGCAGACTCTTCCCTGAGAGAAAAACAAATGGCTAAACTATTGCTGAAACTTCTTATAAGCGTGATGTATTTTTGGCTTTAAATTCTTATGCTCATATGCTTGCTTACATTTTTTGAAACCTAAGTGGGTTAGCTATGCAGATTTCTATGACATTTCTGTTCTGTAGTCAACAAATACCATGACCAGTTATCAGCTTTTATTTCAATGGTTTCTTGTTTGTTACTCAGCTGGATAGTGGTAGGTTTTTTTTTCTAAGCATAACTTGTGAGATAAAAGCATTTGAACTTCCAAAGGGTTAGCAGGTCAAATTCTTTTTCTAAATAGCCCTATCGCTTGGGTTCGAATTTTGATCTGTTTCCCAGTATCTCTTCTTAATGTCATGCACTGGTATCATAAATGTTTATTAATACTTCAGTATTATTTGGATTTTGTGTTTTCTTAGGGATATGAAGCAGTTTCTCAGAAATTTGCATCTATAAGGAGAGTACGAGGTGATAATTACTGTGCTCTCAGAGCAACTCTGTTCCAGGCACTAAGCCAAGCTACTCAATTACCAAGCTGGCTACAGAGCGAGGACTTTACCATGGTACGTGTCAATCTTGGAACTCCTGACAGTAGAGAAATATTGGTTCTAACCTATTTAACAGAGAAATGAGATCATGAACAACTTATGCCGTATGCTCACTTCTCAATATCACTTAAAGTTAAAAAGTAGAAGCATTCCAGTTTTAAGGATGCTGCCTACCTATTGAAGATTTACAGTGGTTCTTTCAACTTGGAATGGAGTCAGATTCACCTGAGTTCCCAGTCGAGTTTCTGACTATAATTAACTTCTCTGTCGTCATATTGCCCTCTTGGAGTTGTCTTCCTGCATGTAATATGACAGTAAGAAGTTTCACAGAAGACACCTGGTAGTAACTGAAAATATAGAGAAGGTATTCTCATAAGTACATTTAGAAAAAACAACTTTTTAAAATTATTGTTTATATTTTGTTGTGCCATATATGGTCTCTCTAAAGAGTGGATTAACAAATTGGATGATGCAGGCTTTTAAGAATGTGTGCGTTGCTTGTGTCCTGTATGTTACTTAAAATAACTGCAAGAGTAACTCCTGCTTCACGTGAACCGTCCTTATGGAGCATTAATGGACAGCTAAGGTTTACTAAAAGGAGAAGAAAAATATTGCAGAACTTGTGTTGCCGCAACGAAGTCCATTCATGATACCAGTATTATCATTGAACCTGGGAGAAGTGTGTAAGAAGTTGCCCACACCCAAGCGGCCCAGTTCAAAAGAATGAGTTTTCATCATTCAGGAGGTTACTGGGAACATAAATGATGAATTGCTGTTGACAGTCTCTTATGTTGTAGGCTAGCAGTCCTTAGGGAATCGTAATGTTCTTACTGCCTTTTCATAACCTTAGGTCCTTCTTAAAATTTCTCAGTTACGATCACAATCACTGTTAAGTAAACTTCACTGACATGTTGTTTTTGTAATTACTGATACAAGTATTTCATAGAAATGTTTCTCACAGTAGCAATATACTAGGAAAGTTTTCCTTTTTATAAAAATGTTCTCGCAGCTGATAACCCTCCATGCTCTGTCGATGTGTGACAGTTTCTCAGTGCTGCTTCAGAAAACCTGCAGACTCTTGAAAGGGTGTGATAATTTGCAGTTTTAATGGATGCTCATCTTCTCTTTTTCTATTAGTTTATAGGAAAAAACTTGACATGCAATAATCTAACCTTTTTAAGAAAGGTTTACAACTTATTCAACAGAATGGCACTAATTGAAAAGGTTAAGTCAGCGCTTTGAAGAGAGCAGCAAAGGGCATGTAAGAGAAATACATGTGGTGGTGACTAGTGATACAGCTGAAGGCTTTTTCAAAATTAATGTTGATTACATGCCTGTTGAATTTCTCTAGATGTAAGGGTTGTTGGCATATAGTTTTTGATTATTTAGTTCCGTATGTTAAATTAGCATACCAAGCTTGGGGGTGGGGTAGGGAAATTGGCTGATGCTCTGTGTGCCACTTCGGTCAAGTAGTTAATCTCATATAAGGCATAATTTGCTGTTCCAGTTACAGCAGTAAAAGGGTTTAATAAATGAGGTTAAATAACTGGGCATGCAACTGCTAGGATGTCCTTCATGAGAAGTGTAGGAGCTCTTAAGTGAGCAGGCATAGCACGTGAGCAGTAAAAAAGGTAGTTCTGAGGGTAAAGTATGTTCTGGTACATCAACTAATCGTCAGAGTATTTTCTTCTTTATAAGAAAACTTGTTCCATTGTGTTTTAACTATGCTTCCTGAAAAGAGGAAAACAGTTTGTGTTCTTGGACTAAAGTAGTTTGAACCCCATCACGTTTTCTGGATTATCTGTCAGATACCTTCATATCTTTAATCTTCTCTTCTGTTGGTTCACACCAACAGAAGATGTGTGAATGATGTGGACATCTTCACACACAGTCACCATCATCTATCTGCTGCTGGAATTAAAGGAAAGCTTTGAATAGCTTAGGGTTATTGGTGTTTCCAATGCTTTTGTATTGAATTTCTGTTCAGATTATGCAGTAGTAACAGACCAGTATTCTGACTGTTGCTCAACAGATATTGTAAAGAGCCAGTTGTGTTCAGTTATACTTATGTTAGTATGGCATCTGCTGAGAAGGACGTACTGAGGGATCATTTTAAGATGTAAAATGTAGAAATGTATTGGTTCAATAAAAATATTTAAGGTGGTGGCTTTTCTTTTCAAGATTTTTTGACTGCCTTCTCTTTTGTTACCTTGCAGCTTCCTGAAAAGTTGTTGAGCAAATACGACTGGATCAAGCATTGGCATCTAAAACAGAAACTGGGCAGGAAGATGGGAGGAATAAGTGATGAAATTAAAGAATATTTAATGCTATTAAGGAAAAAGGTTGGAAGAGTTTGTTTATTCTTAGTCACTTGCAAATAAGAAATACTGAAGGCTTTTGATGTGGCAAATTTTGCATGAGGATGCTGTATGTATGAGACAAAAAAAAAAAAATCAAGGAAAGAGTATCTGTTCAGATCTCTTACGAGCTTTCTGGTCTTCCGCTGCTTGCTTTAGCTGATGCTGGAATTAATACATAAACATATCTATGGAAAGCTATTACGGTTAGACAGGTCTTGATGAAGAAATTTATGTAACATAGTAATATTTTCCCTCTGTTATGTCCTGTGTTAATTTTACAGAATGATTTATAATCCTTTGATTAAGTGCTGTTGCTGCCTTAAACAGTACGCAGAAAGAAGAAAATTACAGAATAATGCTCAAGTTATTTCAAAGGAATAATTTGTTCCATGTTCATAAGTATTTATTTTAGGTTAACGTAACAGAAAAAGTCATACCCTTTCAGTGCTTGTAGTGTATTGATTAAAATTCTCCTTCCTCCCTTTTTTTTCCTTTAAACTGTTGAGCCTATTTATAAACTCTTCAGTTGTTTATGTCTTATTGTATATTGCATATTATCTCTCTCTCTCTCTCTCTCTCTCTCTCATTTTAACTTTTACGAATATTTTAAGGGCTGTTTGCATTTCAAGCAGTTTCTGAGAATGGGATGAAATAAATATTCTGAGTAACTGAAATATAAAGAATATAAAGGCTACAAGATTTATGATGCAATAAATGAGAAAGCTATTACCTTTCTCCTATGGCAGCATTTGTCTTGCCACCTTGTAGCAAATTTCCAGTATTCCCCTCCTTTTTTTGCTTTGGTTAACGATTAGCTGCTGTGCGAACTTGAGTAAAATTAGACTGAGCTAACTTGACTTTGGCAGAGCAACAGCTGTGGAAGTATTGCAGAACGCTTTTACAGTGGACATTTTTAAGCTAAATTCCAAGTGCCTATTCTGAAAATACACAATTCACAAGTGGCTTTTTGCAGCTCCTGGATGGTGATGACTGTTGGTTCATGTTGAGCGTGTGTTATTCTTACAGTGGAAGAGTATCAGTGAAATCAAGGCTCCTAATGAGAAACAAGAAGCTTGTGATGAGTTGTTTAAAAATGAAGAGGAAGAGTACAGTCTGTATGAAGCTCTGAAATTTTTGATGCTCAACACAGCCATTGAGTTATACAATGATGATAAAAATGGAAGGAGAGTTCCTGTCTTCTCATGGTTACTATTTGCACGGGATACATCTAGCAACCCTTGCCAGTTAATGCGTAATCACTTGAATCAAATTGGTCACAGTGGAGGCCTTGAACAAGTAAGGAGAGTTTGTTGTTATTACAGTGGTGCTCTTCTGTTTTTGAGGTTTTCTATCTGAAATGTTGATAGAAGCGATTCAGCCTTTGTTAATCTGATCAAATGTAATGATGTAGTCTCATCTTTGGTTGGGAAGCTGTAATAGAACTAGGAGTTAATAACAGTCTGTAGACTGATCAATGTAAACATTGATTTTGTGTGGTAGATGGCACTTGGGTAACACCATTCCTGGGAAGTATTGTATTCTATTTCATTAGTAGTAACAATTCTATTAGTCTCTTAAATGTTAATTTAACTATTTGAAAATATCATGATAAAACATAACACTGTTCAATTATGAAGGACAAGATCCTGTACACACACTTTGTGTATTCTGATAAACTAATGACATTTATTGCCTGAAACTTTGCGAAAATGATGTGCATGCCACCAAAAACCAACCAACCAACTGAAAAAAAAAAAAAACCACCTTAGTGTTTAAGGAGGTGAATAGTCTGAAAGATTCTAGAACTATCATTAAAAAAATCCCAATTAAGACATTACCAGTAGGGTATTGCACCATTCAGTGCATCTAAATTCCATACTTTAATATATTAAAGAACCTAGAAACATGGAAGCATTACTTTGTTCATGTTTATTGCCTAAATTTCTAGTAACTCCTAGTGTTGATGGGAGAGGTTGCTGCTACTCTTACCTTTTCAAGTGATTGGCTAATGTAGAGCTGGAGTATTGCTTGTCAATGGTGACTTTTCTGCAGTCCAGTTTTGTCCATAAGTATTGTTTTATAGGGTATCTACTGGCCAGGTCTGTTTATTTCAGTGATATTCTTTGTTGTGAATTATTTAGAACAGAACACGCCTGTCATCATAACAGGCAAGATACAAGATTTTCCCATCCTCTTATTCTGAATTCTCTCTGTTGATATAAGGCTTACTAAGGGCTTCCAGTCTGCTATTCATGTGGACTGGAGAGTCCAGAGGGCCTGCTAATGGCTCATGGCCTGAAACCTGTTGTTGTCTGATTTGGTGACTTAATGGAGATAAATACTGATATGAGTGAATGTCTTTCCTACCTTTTTGTGGCAGTAGGGAGGTGGATTTTTTTCAGGACAAAATAGCTGTTGATTTAGGAGTAATATCTCTACTATTGTGTCTAAAGAGCTCTGTGTTAAAGGCATGGTATCTTAGAAGAGGTATTTATACAGCAAGTGAAGAATTGCTAGAATGACCGAGATACTGAACTAGAGATGCTCATATATATGCATTCTAGCTTATTTTTCTTCAGGTGTTGTTTTTTCTTTAAAAAAAATTGCATAGTGTTAAAAGGTATGGTTAAACTAAAATAACTTATATGAGTCACTTCTCTTAATTTTGCACATCTTATTTCTGCTTTTTTCTGATGTAGGTGGAAATGTTTCTCCTGGCTTATGCCTTGCAGTACACCATTCAAGTTTATCGATTGTATAAATACAATACTGATGAATTCATCACACTTTATCCCAATGACCCAAAGGAGGACTGGCCTGTGGTGACTCTCATAACTGAAGATGACAGACATTATAATATTCCAGTCGGAATGTGCCAAGAGACTATGTTGTAAACAAATGATTTTGGCTGAGAGATCTGTGCTGTTTATTGAGGCTTCCACTGCTATTTTGAAATAGGATGGTGATGCATTATTAAGTCTCCAGCAGCTTGAAGTTCACGTTTCAGAAGCTTACGTCTGAACTAAAATACCAAACAAATCTTTAAGAATAACTGAGTAGGAATTTTTCAAGCGTGGTTTTTAGTTGCCTGTAGAATTTTTTTTTTCATGGAGACTTATGGTTTCTGTTTCTGAGGGGATTTCTCTTAGTAGGAATGCAGAAATTACAGGTTCTCTTCTTAAAAGAAGATAGGTCATGTTCTGTAGCAAGAGATGAGGTAACTTTCTGCCCTTGGAACTAATGAGATAATGAAGAATTGAAATTTCTGGAAAAGTAAGTTAACATTTTCCTGACTGATCCTTATAGTGGTGTTTAGAAGCAGTTTATGTGACTGGGCCTTAGGAAGTGATATAATTCTTCTGCACTTGTAGTATAAAACCATGGCAGACATTAAGTTCCAAGAGAAATATTTGTTAGAAGTTTCGTAATGCTCTGAGGGCTGTTCAGACATGAATATCTTTTATTTAGTAGGTAGGCATGTGTTAAACTGAAAATGAAGAGCTCTCCCTCCTTTCAGCCTCTTAAGAGGGCCGTGGCTAGAGGGGCTTGGTAATAGGGGAGTGTAAAAATTCTTTTGTAATAGGTCACAGATTTGAAACCTACCCAGAATTCTCTTTGTTATGATAGCTGGTCTGAAATAAACACATACCACTTACTTCCATGCTTGTTATTACTGTTATGTCAATCCTTGCAGATACCACTGTGGAGAACGTAAAGGCTTGAGTCTGTCCAGGCATTGCAGTAGGTGGAAATAAATTCATGGTGTGATTTGTTCTTTCCTTATGTGACACTTTTCCTGTGGTAGGTTCTATGTTTCTGCTTAGAAATACTAAATATGCTTTAAATTGAAGGAGTATAGAATATGTCAGATTGCTGTCAGTGCTGGCATAGCTTAGAAAAAATTTACTCGTAACTTAAAGGAGAAATGTACTCTACAGATGACTCTCAGAAGAAGAGAGTGAGAGTTGGCTTAAATGAAGTGCCAGCCAGACACAGAACACCGACTCCCTTTAGAAGGCTGCCTTACACAAAAGGGATGAGGCTATAAAAGCTACTTTTCATTCAAATATCTTGGAGGAAGTGGCATGCAAAATTTCAAATTCCCCTGTTTTGTTCTGCTTAAAGTGAACTTGTTTATTAAATTTCTTATTATGAAAGACCATTGCACAATAAGAATGTGTATTCACTACATTGTAAAATGTGTTTTAGCCACGTCTTAATGAGACCTATCATGTACTCTTAAGTGTGGTATTTATCATGTTATTTTCAGCTTTTAAAAGGACTAGTCTGGTCTATTATATTGAAAAGGTTCTGGGAGCCACAGGGAAAGAAAAATAAACCAGCTAATCTTAAAGTATTTTGTTTCCTTGTTTTATTCTGTTTGTTTTTTGAATTTTTAACTTTGAAATACTTGTTAAAGTGAGTTATTCCTTGAAAGCTGCAGAGCATAATAATATGTGTTTAAAAGAAATGTAATTATCAGCTTGCTGCTTGTATGTGGATAGTGAAGAACGCTGCAGAGCATAATAATGTGTGTTTAAAAGAAATGTAATTATCAGCTTGCTGCTTGTATGTGGATAGTGAAGAAATTCCCTGAATTACTGTTATCAAAGTAGCAGTGAAGAAGAAACAGTAACTTTTGCAACTCACTAAATTCTGATAGGAGAGTTTTCTTGTTAAGTCATATTCTTGAGATTAAAATTAATTTAAGCAAAAAGTGCTAAAAAGACATCTCATGTTTAGAGCACTGTGATACTGAAGGATTTTTAAGGCTTAGGCTTGCAACCATTATGCATGTAAGTGACTCACAGAATTGGTATGAACATTGAACTGAGAATGGCAGGGTCTGAGCACAAGGTATATGTACACTTTGAAGTTGCTTACTGCTTCTGCATAAACTGGGTACCTGAAACTGCAGAAAAGCATATCTTGCTTTCCATTCTCCATTTGTATTTGGGAGAGAAATAAGACATCTGTGCCATGGTGTGTGTGTGTATATTTTTGTTTGCTTGTTTTCTTTTTAAACTACTTAGTTATTTAACTTAAAAATGAGTGTAAAATCAACAGCTATTGGTTCTTTTCCATCTAAAGTTATTTAATGGAAGAATACTGCTTTTCAACTTTCTTTTATGTATTCTACTGACTAGACTTGAAGAGTCAATAAAATGAAGAAGTGAAAGCAAGGGATGGAAAAGGGAGAAAAACAGGAGTCAGATCTATTCACACCCAGTCCACCCAGTGTCCCTGACTCTATATGTGAATAAATTACAGATTTGTAACAGCTGCTGTACTTCAAGATCAAAGCACAAAGTGAAACATGATTTTCCTGGCATCTGGCATACTTTGTTAGGTACCTTCCAGTTTTCAAATACAATAATATCTGAGCTCCTGGTGGCTCACAGAGATAACAAAGCTCACTGTGACACTGCAGTTGGTATCCTTTTTGTGCAAAAAATACTGCATCTGCTTTAGGTCTGTTTTTCTGTTTACACTTTGACCTCTGTTTACATCTAGCTCTTACACTGTATGCTTTTTAGGGAAGGAGGCATACATTCTTTGTGTTCTTCAGAACTATTTCAGCATAATTTCCCATGTTAAATAGAAGCATTCTGCTTTCTACCACAGTGATTTGACTTGTGCCTTCTAATTGTCTTTTGAAAAGTGTTTAAGTATTTATTTCTCTGCAAACGCTATTGCATTTTGCACAGTTAAAATTTTGCCTTTCTGCAGAGGCCAGATACAAGTTTGCTAGCTTATGTAATAAGCTTCTCGCCATTTTTGAGTAGGCTTTTTTGTTGTCTTATGCACTGATGAGATAGAAGTTGGGCATTTGAAGATGGAACTTCCTAACTGTTTAAAGAGAAGCAATTTGGTCCACCACAATTTCCTTTGGTCTCCTAATAAGAGAGACGTTTTGGACTCCGTTGATGGGTATCCTCCAGCTGCCTTTCTCTTTGTGGAAGTGCACAGTGTAACTTCTTCATGTGGAGGAAAACAGAGGTCCAGATAGTCACAAGGCTTGACTGGACTGGGAAGGAGTGGGTGGGGAAAGGGGAACAAAATTACATTATTTTCTGTGTTCACAGTTGACTGTGGGTAGAGAGAGGTACTAAAATGGAGCTGCAGCAGACAATGTGGCAAAGCTGAGGCTTGATACAGCTCTCCAAAGACAATGCTGGCACCAGACTGGTGATGTCTTAAAGAAGTTCATGCTGGCTGTCTGGCAAGATGCAGCTGTGGTTGACTCAGGTCTGCACCTTCCTTCAAATAGGTGAGTCTAAGCTTGACCAAATCTTGGCCAAGTGTATTTTTGTGTGACAGCAACAGCTCTATCACCAGGTACCAGTGAGGGAGGGGGAGATTGAGGTGGGAACCTACCTTTCACCAGAATGGCAGACATGGTCAAATTTCCTTTTTTAGGTATTAAGAAGGGAAGGGGTGAGAGGAGGGCTACTTGATTTATGTGTCAAGTGCAGAGCTCTCTTCGTTATCTAACTTCCCTAATACTTAATAGCACCTGTAACGTGGACTCTGCATCTTGGTGTCTTCTGGACACAACTGGTCTTTGTTCTCTGAGCGTTCTAGTTGGCGGGAGAGGGCTGAAAACATTTTAACATGACCAAATGTATTTTGTGAATGCTCCCTTTTTTGGTAAGGGTAAAGACGACTATGGTGAGCACGTTCTGGAAGCTGGCCACTAAATCAATAACTGTTCTGTGACATTGACTCTGGGCCAGATAGATTCCAAGAATATTTCCATTCATAAATTTGTTGGGGAGGAGAACCATGATCTGAGCAATGAAAAAGAAAAATTATTAGTTCCATACAGCTAAAAGTAAAGTAGGGAAGGTTTAGCATGTTAGAGACCTCTTACTAGAATGTAATTTTCTAGTCCCTTTCCCAGAAGCACTCATTTCTGCGTAGGTGCTGATGAGTTACTGCTGTTTCTATTCATGGCTTCTATTCAGGCTTCTGTTCAGGGATGGCAAAAAACCCATGTGGTATGTGGAGCCAACGAAGAACTAGGCAGTGCTGACTAAAAACTGGAGTGTGTTTTTTCTGGGTTTTTGAGTGAATATTATGCCATATAGTGGAAAAACAGACTATTGAACAGGATTGCCAGATCTCTTCCAGAGGATTGTTTCCCTAACACCCTTTTTGGAGCTGTTTTTTTACATACCTTCTCACTAGGTCTTTTATGTGATATATTTCCTTCAGGTTGCTGCAGCAGAGCATTGCTGCAGGGCCTGTAGTATGTAGCCTATGTGCATGCTCTTCAGTGTCAAAACTTTTTTTAGTCTGATAATTTCCCAACCTGTTTGCCCAAAGCTTAATGAAATAAATGATGCCTCATTTTATGCGAATTATGCTATTATATAGGCTGAACGCTGTAGGTAGGTGTGTGTTTTTTTTTTTTCCTCTTACCTTCTCAGAATTAGGTAGTTTTGCAAGTGTTCACAGCTTACTGGGACTGGACAGAATTTAGACACTGTCATTGTTAGATCTGATGCACTCCCACCCATCTCATATATTAAGAAAGAAATCAACTGCTGTAATCATGAAATGAGTATCATCTCTCTCAGCTTCTTGTGTGGTTCACAGAATATTCACTGAATGTGCACTTTCTAGTCTGCAGTTTACACCTAGTACCAATTCTTAACACTTATATGGTTTTGCAAAGACTTGGAATTAATTTTCACCAAGACGGAAGCTCGGACTCACTGAAGATGAGGGGTTGGTGCATACCAGCAGGTGTCACTGCAGGCACGCGAAAGAAATGAGGAAAAACCCAGGGAGGCATTGTAGCCTCACTGTTCCTTGAGGT